TACTACTAGATCTATGTCTCTGAAGAATATTTTGCTTGACTTTATTAGCTTTTTCCATGTACTTGAAAGCATAGAATATAATACAATGGAACTCGGATTTAACGAGCTCGGATTCAACGAGATGAGATAGATTCCCCGTTTTTTTCTTCTTTAAAATCAATAAAAATGACCCGGATTTAACGAGCACTTAAATCAGCGAGCTCGGATTCAACGAGGTCGCTTCCAGGGTGAACTGCCCCCGCAGACGTGACTTCGCTCATTTTTCTTCCAGAAGGAACTTTATCTATTCCCGTAAACCATCCATTGCAACTGCCTCGTGAACCATTATTCACTTAGCCGATTGCACGCAACCAATCAGCGGCGGTTGTTTTTTTTCATACCAACACATGCGTTGTTGGCTTGCGCACGTGTCTACTCTAGCGTGTGTCGGAGTCGTATGGGCGGCCTGCACACATGTGGCTGTGTGTGTGTGTCGGGGAGGGAGGGGGGTGCACTAGCGAACCGGGCGTTGAACGTCGCAGATACAAACGCGTCATAGTCTTCTTTTTTTCCCCTCCTCAACGGATCATTATTACAATGATAAACTAGTCTTGACGTAGATCTTCGTAATGAATTGTGCGCTTGTCTATGAAATCAAAAGTTGCCGTTAAGCTAGGATCTAAACAGCAACACAACTTTGTGGTAAACAATCGAGATGACACAGAAATGCATTTGAACGAATCGGTAGTTGTTTTTTTTTTTACACAGCTCATACAATGCGGGCATTTCAGGCACTATTTGTGACTTCTCTTTTGTTTATACATTACTTGCTCACTGTCTGTAATTATCTACACAAAACGTCATGTTTGCTATAACGAACACTCGGATTCAACGAGATTTTAGGTCAGGCCCGACGACCTCGTTGAATCCGAGTTCCACTGTAGTTTCACACAGATGTATGTACAATACCTTGAAAAAGAAAGATAAGGTCATTTTTGTTGTTGTTTTTTAACGGAATCCGTTTTACGTTGAGAAAAGCGCTAAAAACAAGTTAACAATTTTAAAGAATGCTCATAATATTAGGAATCCGAAATTACTACCTTGATCTAGTTTGCTTACTCTTAAATAACCATGAGCTGTTAAGAAAAAGGAGAATGATATAGGATTTGTCTAAATATGACCATTAGTATTAGCATTATAAAGATATTGCCCATTTTGTCCAATTATCCTTGCAGGTAAAATCACCCTGTACTGCACCTCAATAAGCACAAAAGGAATATTTCTGTGACTTTGTATAAAGGTGATTTGTAGTTGAGTTCTATTTAAAATTCTCAACAAAATAATGTACATTTGGACCGTACAACTGAGATAGACACTCATGCACACAATAGCATTCACACAATACGCACATACAAACACACTATAACATTTACTCTCTCTCTCTAGATCTCTCTCTCACCACAAACACACACAAAACAAACACATACACACACACACTCACACACACACACACACTCTCTCTCTCTCTCTCACACACACAC